CCGTTAGCAGACCATCGGGACAGTCTTTCAGGAATCCTTTGTGCCTAAACAAACAGTCGTCCAACGTGTTATCGAATTTGAGTTTGTTCCAAGGGTGCTCGCGCTGCACCGATACCGTCACGCGTACGCGAGAGCGATGTACACGGAAATACGCTCGGAGATTCTTGGGGGAAGGGGAACGGAAACGAAAATGCCGCCGCGAGGAACGGAGCAGTCGCGGGTCGCTCGTGGAACTCTACGGATCCGCGCGTACCGATCAAAACCGATTCATCGGGAATCGATGGTTCTACCGACGAAGCGTCGCGGTTTGTTTCTTCTGGATCTCGCGAGCGGTAAATCTCGAGCGAACCTATTCTAGAATCAACAACTCCGCCTTGTTATTTTCTCGAGGATTCCCGCGGACCGATAACGTTTCCCCCGATTGTTTTTCCTTTCCGTGTAAGAGGACGGAGCCCCGCTCGGATCGAACCGTTCGATCCTGCGCGAGGTTCGCTCCTTCGGACTCACCATTGTCGGATCTCCTTCTCGGTAACTGAAACAGAAATGAACGGAAACGCCGTGAGTCGGGTGAAAGGCGTAAGGATTCGAAGACGGCGGAAAGGGGTCGAGTACGAGGTCGCGCGAAGGGAGAAAGATCGAGGGCGAAGCTTCTTCGACGAGGGTTCTTGGGATGGTCGGCGGGGGGCGTTTTCCATAAAAATTCAATCTACCAAGTTTTTCCTTTCTCTGGAGGGTCTAACGTTTGCAACTAGCGGAGAGAGGGCGGAAGGGAGAAAGAAGAGGAAGGGGGGAAGTAAAAGGCAATGGAGCAAGTAGACGCAAGCGTTGATTCTACGTACGATTTCGACAATAGGGAATTGGAAAAATAAGGAACAGAGATCCATTCAATCTTTTTCCAATGATTCTATGGACACTCGCTTTCCCTGGTATCATTCAAAGTTACCGCGATTAACTGTTACGTCAATAAACGAATGTAGAGCAGATTATCACTTATCAGTTTCTGTAGCTCGAATAGGAATTGCTAATAAAGAAATAGAATTGACAGTCATCTATTGATTCCACTAAATAAAATGATAAGCAAAAAGAAAAACAGATGTCGATATCTATGGGAATATTTAAGAACTACGATCTAAGCGTACTGATATTCCTTAAGTCGTTGATTCTTGCAATTTCTACATTGCGTGCATTACTTTCATAAATCTCCTTTGAGATTTCGAAAAAAAAGCTTCCATCGAGGACTCCACGCAATTAACCATCAGGGCCATTAGATCGTTTTCAAATTTCGTATCAAGGTCGCGCGATAAAACGGTTGCGTGGCCATCGGTGTTCGAGCAGTGATTCCGATCACCGATAAATCGACACCAGTATCTTTTGGCAGAGTTTATTCGTCGGTTACGAAGAGTCCTCGGTACGGCGAAACGGCCGTTTTCTGGACGAAACTCGATAACTTAGAAGGTGCGACGCAAACAAATACTTCATACAAAAGTTGTAAGGTACAAAGATAAACATATCGTTACTTCTGAAATGAATGTCATTTTGTATGGCTGCGACTATTTAGCAGCGCATTGCGAACCTTCAATTTTCGGTTTTGTCCATAGTCACTGCGCGTCACGGCGTTCCCTCGATAAATTCAATTTATTCGAAGCTTCCGGACGGGAGGAACGATCGATACCGGCAATCTTTCGCGAGAAATATATCCGACGAACGACAAAAGTCTCCGCTCCTTTTCGCGGCGCGCGCGTCATCCGCGACGGCATCGCGCGATATCTCTCTCGATCGGAGCTCGAGGGACGGCGAGGATAAGCCGACAGCGCAGCTCGCTTCTTTCGTTTATAAACCCGAGCGGAAAAGCCGGATATCGAACTCCAAGGACCGAAGAACCGTTGTTCGGCGTCTACTATCGGCGACACCGTTTATCCGCTAAACTCGCAGCTAACAACTAACAACATCCTCGGCAACGGGTCAGTACTTGCGAGACGTTTCTCGTTAAACGTTGTCGGTTTCTTTGGAGCGAGTTCGAGCTTCTAAGAAAGAATCCCTTAGGGATAACGCGAAGATCGCCGACTCGGTTGGTAGCCGTCCAAGTGTTCTTTTGACAAACCGCGCATAACTAATCTTTCCGCCTCGTCGCTTCGATTTTCATAGCCTTCGATAAATTTGCGCATGGTTTTCGAGGGAGCGCGCGGTCGCCACGGTCGAACCCGTCCGCCGCGATTTTCGAGAAGCCTTTCTTCCTTTCTACCCGTCCTCCGTTTCGTTTTCTTCTTCTTAACCCTTTGCGCTTGATTTATTTTCAGTATTCTTAGGCGCAAGCTTGTACTCGCTTTTAGACAGATGAATCGAAGTATAATTTATAGCGGTAGAATTCAACGTTTTATATTTATTTTATTTATTATTACTATAAGCTTGAATTTTTATAACCTTTTAAAGTGTGGTACTTTTTTGAACAATTTCCGACGTGCTATGATAAATTTCTATCGTCACCTTCACCGTGACAAACGAGTACAAAGGGTTGATCGTTTCCATCGATGACTCGCGGTTCTTTTTATCGATTTAGTCCGCGTGAAAATTCGGCTGATTCTTTCACGGCCCTTCCGTTTCATTTGCAAACGACGAGCATAGAAGATGATACGAGCCCGAAAATAATAACCCGAAACGAGGAACGAAACGACGATACATTTTCGAAGCATCCTCGTGATACCTGGCTAATATTCTCGGCCGAGTCTAGTACGTCATGGTACAACGGTACAATTTCCTCGTAACGACCCTCGCGTGAATACCACGCCGCGAACAAAAGCATCTGGAATGCTCCCGGTTTATCGTTGGATTTCCATCGAATTCACGATCCCGCCGCAACGAGTCGATGCAATTTCTTCGTCGCGTCCGAGCGTTTCGCCTTGAGTCGCGGTGGGCTCGTGCGCGGCGAATTGAAAAATTATGATTGTGGCGGTGGGTCTCGGGGAAATAACGATTATTATCGTGGCGAAACGCTAATCTCGTTGCTGACCGGACATCCATTCTGGTTACAAAGAGACTCGCGTCGCGAGGATCGTCAACGTCGCGCAGTGCGGCCGAACGGCCGTTTTCTGGACGAACCTCATTAACTTAACCCTTTGCACTCGAAAGTTTTTGAAATATTCAATTCTTTCTGGTTAGATGCAGACGAAATTCTTTAATATGAATTTATCAAGAAATATGAAAATTCATAATTTTCTTGTATCAAATCATCTGGCGAGGAGTCGCCTCTCGGATGCAAAGGGTTAAACAGTATCAGTGATAGAAAATAATGCTTGAGGCAAAAGTTGTGAAGTATAGCGAAATATACGGTGATCATATTTCAAACGATCTATACTTCCATTAACTGCGTTTAACGAGTGTACGTGACGTCTTGAAGCTTGAAATAACACTGCTCCTTTCAACGACGATTCTTAATTTCTTCAGATAAACGTGCGATTCTCTGTTTTGCTTTAGTTTGTCATTCAAATACACCCTAGGCGCATTCATCCCGCCTTCGACGAGTGCACACTTCATTTTCCGATTTAACTGCGCGAACGAGAGATTTTTCAAACTAAATTCCACAGCTAACAGGTTAAGGATGCACGACAACGGTAGAGAGGGACGAGAGGAGGCCTCGCTTTTTCCAAGTTCCCCTGTCGCTTTTATTTCGAAAACATCTTGTTCGCTTCCACGAGGGATCTTGTCTTATCGTCAAAGGGGGTGGACGCGAGGTCGCGCCGAAAGAAACTTTCGACGTTGCTCCAAAGTGAAAGAGAGAGAGAGAGAGACAGAGGAAGGGGTGTTTAGGACGTTCCGTCTGGCGGCGCGCGGAAAAAGATTCCGGCTACAAGGGATCCTTCGGCGCACGATGATTGTATCGATCATCTCGACGAGCAGCTGACGCGTACTAAGCGGCTGATAACCGTCCCCGAGCTCGAGACATCTTGACCCGCGAGGAAGCTGTACGCCGAGCGACCGATATCCGCTCGATCGCGAACCGTACCGCCGAATTTGCGACGAGAAACGGGAGTGCGGTGTAATTGGTACGTTTCCGAGCGTTACCCGGTCCCGAAGCAGAGGCTACGATACAGCTATCGCCAACTTCCCTGCGCCGAAGCTATAATAACGAACTGTTGCGTATGCAAAGGTCGACGCGGAATTGTTAGTAAAACGGTGAACGGAGGTTAAAATAGTTTTCCAACATGTAACTGCGTTAAAGGATCTAGTTAAAAGTCATTTAAGTTTTTTAATAGCGCCGTTCCAACCGTTAGACTCAGCGGCATGCAATGGAACGGGGAGAAAGTAGATTACGCGCGACATAAATCATATTATAATGCCACGAGAACAACCGCGCGTACGGCGGAAACGATAGAAAGGTGAGTAAATTTACCTTTACGAGGAATACGTTTCCCCGGGTTAATTGCCGGCTAATTTCCTGTAATGCCGTGATTCGGCGGTTGATCGTTCGAGCGTTTCCGTTTCGCCCCGAGGTCGTTGCGCGCCGACAACAGGTGCAACGCGTCGAATAAAAACTGAACGATACCTTCGGAAAGGAAGTAAGCCCGTGACACGTTGCCGTTCGTAACGCCGACGAGTGGCGAGACGTTACAGCGCGTCGATAATTTTAGCCACGTGGCCGCTTCTTTTATTGCGGTGTACACGCCACGCTGGAAAAACGTCTACTCGATCGAACGAATAATTCCCTATAATTCCCGCCTCGCCGTGTACGAAACGGTTATAGAAAATTCCGTGCGACGTACAAGTGTGCCGCGTCTGTTTCGGCTACGATCGACCGCGCGCGTGCTCGCGTTAGTGGCGGAGCGATGCTGACCGGTCAACGTTTCGATAATCGTAAGGGTGCGAGTGGCACGCGCGAACGAGGTCGAACAGCGTAAAGCGCCTTCGAAGGTACAATAACGCATATTCAGCGTGGTCTACTTCGTCCCTGTCAACGTTATCGTTGCGTTTGCTACGCTTCCATCGGCGAGTCCTCGAGCGCCGCGGATTTCTATGCTATCGGCGGATCATTTAACGCCTCGGCGTACTATTTACTTCCGCCACTAGGCCCGTGTAATATTTTACTATCGATCATTTGGAAGAAACGCAAGAAAATTTCCCATTCCACTTCAAGTGGAAATTTCATTTGAAGATGATTCATTGATAATGGCGAAATAGTTGTTTGCTTTGATCCGCGGGTAACATTGACTGTTGTTAAACTAGTCTAGAAATCTTCATCACTAGTGTCACTCGTTATTGTACGGCAAGGAGTTAACGCTAGAATTACCGAGCAGTCGTTGGCTTTTCGGGATTTCTCTGTAGAAACTCCAAGAGCGCTTCTACTTTCATTGATTTGCAATTCAGTTTGCTAAATCAATTTCTTTAGCACTAGGTTTACCGGGTTTGACCAATTTCGAATTTCGGGACATTAGGTAACTATGTAAGGAATATCGGCGAAGTGTTAATAAATTCTTAGTCTGTTATCTTTTCAATAGTTGTAAAATAAGAAATCAGGAATGGGTCACTTTGGCACGTCCG